AGAATATTAGAAAGTGGCAAGCAAGGAGAATACATTCTAATCCATGTGGCATAAAGAGCACCTAATCTCTGCTAAGAGAGTCCCTGGACTGCAAGGAGAACAAACTTATCAATTCTAAAGGAAATCAAACCTGAGTGCTCACTGGAAGGACAGATCCTGAAGCTGAGGCTCCAATACTTTGGCCATGAGAAGAGAAGAATCCTTGGAAAAGACCTTGATGTTAGGAAACTGCGAAGGCAAGAGGAGAAGGGGACGACAGAGGATGAGATGGTTGGACAGAGTCATTGAAGCAACCAATATGAATTTGACCCAGCTCCGGGAGGCAGTGGAAGACAGGAGGGCCTGGCGTGCTCTGGTCCATGGGGTCTCGAAGAGTCGGACACGACTGAGCAACGACAAATCTCTGCTATCCCACTAACCCCCTTTCAAAAGTGCCAGCCTGATGTAGCAAAAAGCAGAATTCCCCCAGCATAGCTATTGGCTGCAGGATCCTGAGAACCGTAGCCCAGAAGTACCTTTTCTGGCTTCTTCCCAATCTAGCATCAATAACATACTAGGTGAAATTTACAAAATGATTGGAAGATGGGCTTATCAAGTGATATCTACACAAATGTTATTTCTTATTTCCATTTCAAGAGTACTATAGTAAAGAACTGGAGTACAGGAGCATAAGGTACTCAAATGATCTCAAAGGAGAGGCTGGGATAGCACAGTGACAAAGTTCTAAAATTATGGTGTGCATTATTAATTTACTAAAGGAATTATTTGGTTACAGAATATAACCAATAAAATACAGTTTTACAATCTTCATAAAATGGCAAGAGAATTCTCATACTTGAATCCATGGCATCATGGGTATTACACTGCTACTCCTCAAAGCTTATGCTACCTATCTTACCAGCAACAACCAAGAGCTGTCTCACATATTGAAACAGGCAGATTAATCCAAGGAACAAGATGCTACAAGATAAGGTACTGTATAGAGTTGCTCTGATGGCCAGTTAGAGCACATCAAGGACTCTTGATGTACAGCTTTCAAGTTGAAGCATCTTACAGTGGGAAATCATGGAGTGTCTGGGAATTCACTGACTCCCCACAATATGTGGATGTATTAGTGTTGACAATGCAGTTCTCCTTGTGCAAGGAGATCACATCCAGCTCCAGCTCCCAGATAATCTTGAATCGAAAGCTGTGGGTGATGACATTTGTACAGAACACTAACTGTCACAATGGACTCATTAATGGGCATGTAGGGAGAAACTGCATGATTGTTTGAAAGCTAAATTTGAATTTATGTACTTTCAGAAGGACATCTGGTCTCTCACAGTAATGTAATAACAATGGCACAATTATTATGTGAAAAGGCATTCCTGGGAAAAGCCCAAAGAACACTCGGATTAGTTTAAATTGCTAGACAATATTATTGTAATGCAATTGTGTAATAGAATTATGTTATCTATCGTATATAACTTATTACTAAGAATTACTTTTCAAAATAAATAGGATGAAATTACAAATGATTCAAACTTAATGATGGATAATTTCTCTCCTTCTATGGTGTAACAATTTTTTTAGTTACATTATCGTGACTGGGTAGCCTAGTTAAACAGTCGTAATACTGACTTATACTGTTGAATGAAAAACTTTCAAAGGTATTTTCTAAAAAACAATCAAAGTAAGTTTTATTTACTTTTGAAAAACAGAAATGCTAAAGATTTACTTTTGAACAATTAGCACAATTAGCTATGACTGTGACTACTTTTCTCCCTTGGAATGCTACTACAGTAGTTAATTTTTTGGAACTAAGCTTCCAAGATCTGAGTATGGCTAATACTCACAAGATGAAATCCAATATTAGTTCCTACTAAAACAAAAATCGCTGGAACTTTCATTAGTAGTGATTTTCATTTAAATGGGTTTATTAATTTAAATGTTTTATTTAAGTTGAAACAAAATGTTAAAACCCAAGTAGATTCATTGTGTGTCTTTAATACTTATTTCATATGTACTGTACAATTTTAGCAAATATCATATATACCATTTTTCGACCATCATTAGAATTCAGTATAAAAATATGATACCTATGAACCCATGGAAATCAATTGGCTTAAGCAGTTATAATTCTGACCCTCTCATAAGGGCTCTCAGGTGAGTTACAGTGTGCACATTGTGAGTACTGTAGCAGAGACAAACAGTTCTCAAGTGTCTCAGCTTTACTTACGTTAGTCAGAAAGCGAGTACAGGTATTGGCATGCAAACACTATAATGCAGTAGTTTTCTATTCCTGAACAATCTCACAAAATACTTAACATTACAAATTTTTACTTTTATATGTACAGTATATATATTCTGCATTTTAAAAATTCAAGCAGAAAGTTCACAGTAAATTTAAAACTGAAACCTTCTGTTTGATTAAAATTGGATACCCGTAATAGAAATCTGAAGCTCTTGATAACAATCACAGAGACAGTCACGTAAATAATTTCAGACATAGCAAGGGCAGAATTAAACAGGTTGTATTACCTCCTGATAATGAGGACAAACAAAATAAAGATCTTGCAGTTCGTTTTCTAGAAAGCTGTCCAAAGGTTAGTATTTTATTTCAAAAGCATTTTAAAATAATTCTCGCAGACTTTCAAAATCCTCCCAGGGGAGGCCAGGCTGGCCTCATTTTTGCTGTCCTTCCACAAGCTGGTGAAGCCCTTTCTCTTCAGGCAAGCTTTCCTTTCTTGCCTGAGTGGGCTTTTCAAACAGATTGTTATGCCTTACTGCTTTGAAAGTGTTTTTGGTGCTGCTTTAGTTTACCCTTTTTAGTCTATTTGTTTGATACTTTTCAGTATTTGTATACTTACTGGTTTTGACTTTAAATATTTTATTTCAATGATGTAAGCCCTCTTGGGCCTTTTTTAAGGAGAAAGGTGGAGCAAAAATATTTTAAATCAGTCAATCAATTTTCATTTTCCACCACTGATTTATCAGGGCCATCTCTATCATTTGACAGAGGGACAGGGCAAGTATATTTGGTGGGGACACAGGAGGGGGCCTTATCTGTCACTGTACACAGACTCTGGAACTCCCTTCCCACAGGAGGCCAGGCTGGACCCATCTTTGTTTTTCTTCTGCAAACGGATGTTGACCTTTCTCTTCAGACAGCCTTTCTCTTAGTGACTGACTGTCTGGTAGTGGATTTTAAATGGAGTGTTGCATCTTCTTCCCTTGAATCTGTTTTCGGTGTTGATTTTGCACTCAATCTATTTTTCATGTTGATTTTTTCCCCCATTTTTAGTATGACATTTGGTTCTTTACCTGTATAACTGCTGTTTTCAGCTTTTAAATATTGTCTTTCAATGATGTAATCTGCCTTGGGTCCTTTCTAAGAAGAAAGGTGGGGTAAAATATTTTAAATACTGTACATCATAAATAGAATGTGGTGGGGGCAGTAATTTAGTAATTTTAGGACAGAACTGTGCATGCTGTTTGGCCTGTCTTGTCCAGCTGGTGAATGGAAGTATGTGTCCTAACCTGGCAATCAAAGATTTGTTGTCATCTCCAACTTTTAACAGTTATATGAGAGACAAAGCCCTAGAGGTGCACCTTTCCCTTTGCATGAGGAGAAAACAGAATAATAATCTTCCTCAGAACTGCTGGATAGCTCAGTGGTTAGGCATCTTTGGCAGTTCAAATCCCCACTGTGCCTCCTCCACAGGGGCTGGACTTGATGATCCATAGAATCCCTTCAATCTCTGCTGTTCTAACATTATTATAATATTGTCATGTTGCAGAGAAATAAAGTAGGCCTGTTGAATTCCTACCTCTACAGTGGATATAAAGAGTTTACACACCCGTTAAAATGTCAAGTGCCTGTGATGTACAAAAAGGAGACAATGATAAATCATTTCACCTTTGGTGTACTGTTTATTATAATAGAGATTTTTTGTTGTTTAGTTGTTAAGTTGTGTCTGACTCTTCACGACCCCATGGACCAGAGCACACCAGGCCCTACTTGTCTTCCACTGCCTCCTGGAGTTAGGTCAAATTCATGTTGGTAACTTCAATGACACTGTCCAACCATCTCACCCTCTGTCGTCCCCTTCTTTTTAAGATGCTGTCTAGGTTTGTCATGGCTTTCCTCCCAAGAAGCAGGCGTCTTTTAATTTCATGGCTGCTGTCACCATCTGCAGTGATTATGGAGCCCCAGAAAGTAAAACCTGTCACTGCCTCCATATCTTCCCCTTCTATTTGCCAGGAGGTGATGGGACCAGTGACCATGATCTTAGTTTTTTTGATGTTGAGTTTCAGACCGTTTTTTGCACTCTCCTCTTTCACCCTCATTAAGAGGTTCTTGAATTCCTCCTCACTTGCTGCCATCAGAGTGGGATTATCTACATATCAGAGGTTCTTGATATTTCTTCCCACAATTAATTCCCGTTTGGGATTCCTCCAGTCCAACCTTTCGCATGATGTATTCTGCATCTAAGTTACCGTAAATAAGCAGTGATACAATATACAGCCTTGTCTTACTTCTTTCCCAATTTTGAACCAATCTGTTGTTCCATTTCCAATTCTAGCTGTTGCTTCCTGTCCCACATATAAATTGGTAGCGCTAGAGAAAAGAATTAGGGTGGGTTCTGCTAAGCCCCCCCCCCTTTTTTTGGCCACTGCAGTGAGTGGAAATGTTTTGACCAGCCATCTATGGTCTTTGCCGTTTACAAGCCACTTTCAGCACAAAATCCTGTTTCGTTTTTCCTTATTTGCCCTTGCTGGATATATTTTATCTGTTAAGTTGTTGGGCAACGCAGTAAGCCCTAAACCCCAATATTTTTCTCAGTTCATCATCCCGGTGGCAAAAAAAAAAAAAAGAAAAGAATAGGAGAAAACATGGAGGAAAAGCACTGCGCTTGAGGAAAACTACATTTCCCGGCGGCCTCTGCGCAACCGTCGCACGCCGTACTCAGCCGACTCGTGATGACAGCCGTCCCAAGTCGCTCCTGCAGAGGGAAAGCCGCGCTCGCCAAGATCTACATTTCCCAGCGGCCCGTCCCTCTCTTCCTCTCTTCCCCCCCCGCCCCAACTCCAAGCAGCGCCTGCGCAAAACCGCGGCCTGACTTCTCATTTCGCCGTTGGAACCTTGTCGGTGGGCGGTGTGGGAGGGAAAAGGGAGAGGCGGCTGATAGCAGGAGCGCGCGTGCAACGGCAGCGGCGGCCGCGAAGGGCAACGAAGGCACGACCCCAAGTGTTTCCACCGTCGCCATTTCTGTCAGCCCGGACCCATGATTCCCATATGCCCGGTAGTGTCTTTCACCTATGGTAAGCAGCAACCATTGCCGAGCTGGTCAAGGAAGCGGGGGGGGGGCGAGGGAGAGAGAGAGGAGGGAAGCTGAGGGGAAAGAGGGGCGACATTTTGCCTCAGGTGTTGGTTCTGACCGGGTCCCCCCCCCTCTTTTTTTGTTGTTTTTCTTTTCTCTCCTCTCGCTTTTCTCGTCACGCCATGGCGCTGCTGCAGTGCCCAGCCGGCTGGGGGAAGATGCCAAAATGGCCACCGGCAACTACTTCGGATTTACCCACACCGGAGCTGCTGCCCAGTATAGGTAAAGAGGGGCTCTTCGGAGGGTGCCACGTTGTGGAAATTTCCACCGCCTTATCCTTCGCTAGCGCGGTTCTGCGGGAGGGTTTGCAGAAAAGCAGCGTCTCTCTCTCCCCCCCCCTCTTTACCCCGCCTTTGCGCACGCATCTGTGTTTATGCGTCCAGACGTCGCTGCCTGGGCGGCCGTGAGAAGGCGGAGCCCCGCGAGCGCCGGGCCTCCTGGAGACCTGAGCAAAGAGCTTGCATCCGGCCCTCCACGCTTCGCCTCCCACCTCCCTCCTTCGGCCGCTCATGCCTTGGAGCCAATCTTAAGGACTCAACCTCTCTCGTGTCAGCCCTGTAGGGTTGAGTGGAGCTTGCTTCCGATTAAAGATGCCTGGTATTGCGGCTTTCAGGGTTCGTTTTAGTGAAATCACATGGATCTTAGTCACAGTTTAAATCACTACTCAGAAAACCTTGGTTTAGTAAGGTGCCCTTTTGCTTTTTGTAACATCTATATTGTATTCACAGAGGCTTTCACCGCGGGGATCTAATGGTTGTTGTGGGTTTTTCGGGCTCTTTGGCCATATTCTGAAGGACAGCACAGACAACCTCCAATATGCAGATGATACCACAGAGTGCTGTCCTCTGAAGATGCTGGCCACAGAGACTGGCGAAACGTTAGGAAGAACAACCTTTAGAACACGGTCAAAGAGCCCGAAAAACCCACAACAACCATCTATCCCTGTTCTTTGTTTTTTCACAATCCCCTTGCTTAGATTGATTCCACCTCTAATAATCCACTCTTTGTTGATACTTCTAATATCTAAAAGTGTGTACTGCTGGGCAAGGTGATTGTGAAAAATATCTGTTGTGAAAGCAGGTGTACACTTTTTGAAAATTCTCAGATCACATCCAGATCCACTCAGTTCCCTGCCCTGAGTGTGCAGTTTCAGAAAAGAGATGTAAGAATGTCATTTGTTTACAAGGATTTGCAGATGGGCAGTTGCAAGGGTTTTGCACTGTAATGGAATCAGAATTGCTCAGGCTTAAAAGCAATCATGGAGATTTTAATTGGGCTTTAAAGTATTTCCATTTATAGCAAGTTGGGAGGAAAAAGGCTCTGAAATAGCTTCAGCCAAAGCTGGAAAATGGGTGTGATTACTCTGTTACATTTTGTTTCGATATACTGCTCTTAAGGTGGATATACTGTATGTTTGGAGATGCAAAACCATTTTGAGAATCGCAGATTTTATATAGATATTTACTGGATTGAGTACGGGGTGCCAGTGAAAAGACAACATAAATAATCTATACTGAAGCCTGTAAAATGGAGGCTCCAATTAAGGAAATAATGCATTCTATTTTTCAAACCTTAAAGAAACAGTAATAGTCTCTCATAGAATTAAGATTTATAATCTTTATTTCATAACAATATTTTAAAGCTATGGCCATGTAGTTATTTTTAACATGAATAATTTTTTTAATAAGAAAATAATTGATCTCTTCGTATTTTTCCCAGATCATGCAAAGCTCATTCCACTAAAATCTATGCCTTTTCCCTTGTTTTTTAAAATAATTTCTGGAAACTTTTTTACAGATGTTTGCTAAATAGAGTGGAGCTTAGCAGTGTCACACTTCTTATGCTGAGTTCATTTTGGAGTCAGACCCTCCCAGATGGAATCTTTTAATTATTTTGTCTGTTGGCTTTAAAGAGACAAATACTCTGGATCATTTAATCTTTCCTCAAGAAATTATTTTTCAAAAGTTGTTTTTTGAAACCATATGATTTCTGGTGCTCTATAAAAACGATATAAGCATATCCTGGTTCTCTACAACCAACTGTGCTCACTTACAGCAGTATATGTTGCTGTCTGAACAAGTCCTCAGTTAGAGCATTTTCACCAGTAAGGACTGCAGCCTTCACAACTTAATTTAGCATGATATAAGTATTGGTATATGGTGAATAAGGTCTGGTAGTTTATTGTAAGTCATGGTTTGGAACTAAAATAGGGAGGTGCACAGTGGAAATTTTCATATTTCTTTAGTTTTGGGTTATTTGGGGGGGATGCCTCTTCTGATTTGGTATTTTTTGTGAACTGATTCTTTCATTTTACATGTAAAGGAAAGGGTTTTTCAGAGTTCCTATTTGTGTTTTCTGACTCTCCAAAATCCATAAAGAACTCTAAAAAACTGCTGCAGATGAACAAAAAGAAGCAAGGCTACAGCAACTCAGTCTGTTCCAAAATCAGCTTGTGCTAAATTTAAAAAAAATCAGATCTATGCAAGCACTAATTCATACTATCACGTTCCGAATAATAATATGAGTTTAGTGCCAAAATAAATCTCGACCTAGGCAAAACAATAGAAAAATGGCCAGCAGCACTGGCCACCTGGCACACAGAAGCCTACTTACCAAAGTACTAACAAGAATACAACACCATGAACAAGAAGTTAGAGATACCCCAAGTTGTGCTGAACTAACAACAACCACTACCCACACAGCACAATGGCACAGTCACAAAGTCCACCCACCTGCCCCCCAAAGCAAGCAAAACAATTCCCAATAAAACAACTGCAATATGGAATAAATACACAGTAAAATAAACACTTTTAAAAATCAGTAAGTTGGGGAAAGGAACTCCCCAGGGGGAAAAAAGAAAATAAAATAAAAAAGTCACTCACAGAGACTGTTCCCAAAAACCAAGTAAAGGAAATGAGCAAATAAAGGGGGAAAAAGCAATCAGAGCCTCCCCACAAGCCAAAAGAACTAGAATATGTGGAGATTTCTGTCCCCTCTACCATTTTATGCCTTTGCATGTCTTCTTTGAATCTAGGAAATTTTGGGAGGGAATCCAAAATATGATCTCAAGGAAGTATGATGGCATGTGGAACTGCTGGGGGGCAGCAAAAATAATGCAATGAAGGAAGGAAAAGAAGCAGCAATCCCCAAATAGCAAAAGGGAATGACTCTGAAGGTACAACAGGAGAGTGACAGTCCAAGGTGAAGGATGCTAGGGTATAGCACACAGTAATCCAACCTACAAAGAATGACTAGATCAAAGAGCATTCCTTACTGAGTTCCAGGCAGTTTTACAGATTGAAATTTCCTGCATCCCCCACCCCAATTGACTGGCTGTTGATAGCCCCTGTGACACTGTTGAATGAAAAAAATCTGAGATGAGTTAATCGTCATTATAATCTTAGAACTGCAAAGCTGGAAAGGACCCTATAGATCCCTATGGATCATCAGATCCAGCCCCTGTCAGGGAGACATAGTGGGGAATCAAACTCCCAACCTTTGAGCTATCCAGACAAAGAATGAAAGGAGTACTGAAGAGTTCCTTAAAAAACATAGTTTTTTGGAAAATAAATCATTCCTTTTCTAGAGACGCTCTCTCAACAATAACTAAAAGAACACTAATTACATGAAAAAGATATTTTGTGTTTTGGGTCTTTTATTTAAAGAAGGCCTAAAGATAACTGTGGAAAGCTAGCTCAGTAATAATTCTATAAAAGAAAATTGATCTGAAAATACTAGATAAGCTAGTATCTAGCATTGATAAGACACTATGTATATCATCATACCTGTTTCAGGAACTGGGAGATAACACTTTCAACACTGTGACAGTGGTGGCTTTTATATGAGCTGTTGATGGATGTGCTGTGTTATCATAATAACCAACATGCTCACAGTCTGTAATTCTGGTGAGGGATTTTTGGCCTCTACTCCAGATGTGTTTGCCTTTATATCCCAGAAATCCTAGCTAGTGTAGCTGATAGAAAGGTATTATGGGGCTTAGACCTGACTGTCTGGAGGCCCAATATCTCCTATTCCCATAAATCATTCAGGCTGCTATATAGGGAAGTGTTTGTATTTTTATTTTTGGCAGTGTTGTTCCCTTTTACTGTACTCTAGATGGTGTTTATAGCTCCCTCTGTGTGAATGTTAAATAGAAGTTACTCTTATTCAGTGCACATATTGAAAATCCTGAATTTTTCAAATGCAGTCTTTAGCCTTATTAACTTGCACATGATCACAGGATATGAGTAGATAGATAGCTAAGACTTCATGAAGTGTGCTATTTATCTTTTTTACTGGTGATTGTGAACAGATTTGTCATTTATATTTTGACAGATTTTGATGAGCTAAGGGTGGTCTTTTTGAACAAGCAAAAGAGGAAGATAATTTCTTATTGCCCTTGCTTCAAATCTTGCCTCAAGAAGAAAGGAAGACAGTGCACAATATAGAAGAGATATATCTTGAAATAATATTTAACAACAAAACAACAAATTGTATAGGATGTTTCCATAACATCTTCCATGATTCAGTGAAATAATAATTTTAAATTCAAATAGAATATGTGTCATATTACAAATTGTGTATTGTACATATTGTTAGTAATCAGACCATATTTTATTTGAGAAAACTTACAATTAGATGTTAATTGTGTTAATCATGAACAATCTGATATATATGTTTTGAAAGGGGTAGCTGTGTTTAATCTGTTGTGCAAAATGAAGAAAGAATCCTTTACCTTAAAAACAAACAACAAAAAATCCTTAATGTGCCAAAGAACCTGATATGAATATTAAGTGCTTTGAATTGTTTCATTGCCATAATCCTATTGAGTTTGCACAATGTAAACATAAATAGCATAACTAATGTGCATAATTTTTCCAGCTCACTGTTGCATGCTTGGACACACTCTGCTCATGCAGTCAGGTCATGCATCCAAACAGAAAACAGCCCAAAAATTGTGGATAAAATTTTTTATATAATTTTCCTTATACATGTGCCATTTCAAAGTAGGATTCTGGCCATTATATACTGCACCCATTTATTTTGAATTCTAAATATAAATGCAAGAGTAGACACTACCTTTATATACCGCTTTAAAAAAATCATACAATCTATGAGCTTTCATGGATAAGGACAATCCACCGTCAGGCATGTAGCAGTGTGAAGAACTTAAAGTCCAAAAGTTGGCAAGATGGATTTCACTTTAAGTTCTTCATACTGGT